GCCCTCTCCCCTTCTTCCTCTCCCTCTCTCTCTCCTTCCTTCCTTAGAGGCAAGACAGATGACTGAATTAGGCGTCTTGGTCGCATAAGTAATTGAAGTTTATTTGTTGCCGTATTGCGAAGCTCAGGCATGGCAGCGCATGAGAAGGCGTCTCATTGTTAAGAAATAATAATAATGATGAATAAAAGTCGGCGTTGTTTTTAGAGCATTTGCAGTTGGATGGAAATCTCATGAATGGTCGGTGTCAGTTTTGTTGACAGTGTTATAGGTGGCATGATTGATCACAAGCACAAGTCTGATTAGCCTAAATGGGTGCCCCTCCCCCTCTTCTCCGGATAGGCTTAGGGTGTGTAAACCAGCCCAGGACATGTGAATTATATACACGTTCACGGCAACATAATTTTTTTTCACGTGTGACTGCGTGGTTGATCTCTCGTCCAAGAGGATTATGTATTATGTAATGAAAAACATGTGAATGAACATCAGTGAAATCGTATGACAACTACAGAGGCTTAATAAAAATTTTATTTGGTTTCATTAGAAATAAAAGAGTAAATAGAAAAATCATAATTTTTTTTCGATTTTCAAAAATTTGTATATAAATGGGGTCAATATGTAAAACAGGATAGTGGCTTACTTTCGAAACAAATTTTATATTTATCTGCAGGAAATTCACTGATTTCAACTATTCTTGGTGTTTCTTGTGCAAATGATTTGTTGAGGAGATTTGTGTACCATTTCTATCGACAATCTTAATTTGTTAGTCCCGATAACAGGAAGGGGAGAAGTATATCCAGGAAATTATGGGGTAAAACAGGCTTGGATAAGAAGAATAGAAAACAAAAATGCGTAAATCTAGCACTAAAAACGCTAAAAATTGGTTAGTGAAGCTCTACAGACATACTGCCCTGTATACACACCAATGCGCCAAAATTCCCATCTCTCGGCAAAATTGACGTGATTTTTCTTTTCTTGCAATGAGCTATTTACTACAAAGAGAAATGATATGGAGTCTGTGCAAGAAAAATAAGTAATTACCATCTGGATAAAAAAAAAAAAAGACAAATCTGGGCATTGGAAAATGGCGATAAGGCTAAAAAAGTTTTCACAAAACTTTTCAAAGGGGAGGCACAAAGTCTTGTCTCCGCTCACGGGTGTTTGTGCACACCTGGCCTACACGCTGAATGCCTGGGATGCTGGCCACTTACGTAACCATTGCAACCGGATCCAGGGGGTTAACACAGTAATGAATTTTGCAGTCAGTCCAACGTTTACTCTGGACATGTAAACAAGTAGATTGACTTGGCTGAAATTGGGCTGTCACCTTTGTTAATTTAATGTATAAGACCTTTGGGAAGCATATGCACAAATATTTTCATAGAAGAAAATTGTCTTGGTTTGTATTGTTCTTTCATTTCATATAGGTTTTATTACCCATCTCCGGCATTAGCTCATACTGCATATTGTCCCAGAAATTTAATTGATTAAGAACTCTGGGACGAGGGATCAACCGGAGCTCAAAAAAGAAGAAGAAAAGGATAGGAAAATCTGCAAACACAAGTTTGATATTTGAAGTTCATTTTTTGTATTTATTTATTTATGAATCTTTACCATTTCATTACAGTAAAAACTACTATCATTTCCCTTTTAAATACACTTAATTACGAAAAGATATGACCATCAGTCTCCGAGTTATAGAAACAAACAAGCAAATGCCTCCCATGAAAAGGGTCAAATCCAGACCAAAAACAAAATGACTGTTACATGAAATTGGTTGTTTCTTGTTTTATATCTCTTTTATTGTTTTCTTGAGTGTACATTTGATTATGTGTATATGTATGTAAATTAATGTAAAGGTCATGTACTTGCACATGTATATGCATATATGCACACATACCCATTAGATCCGTAATGATTTATTTTATTTATTCATTTGATTTTTATTCCAGTCGACTCTTGAAACAAGTGATAAACATTTAATCACGAGTGAAGTGCTTGTTATGGAGGGATGATGAATTGTTTCTTGTTCGTTAGAAATAACAGTTCAGAAAACGATACATCAAAAATATTTTGAATTACGAATCACTTTTTTTTCTTCTTCTTCTTCTTCTTTCTTTTTCTTTTTTCGTTTAAGCAATGTGTACACGGCCTTCTTGTCTTGATATTGATTTCATTGGACATTCCATACCCAGAAAGCTTTGTTTTATGTACAAGATCTAGCCACCCTTACCCTTGGCCATTCACCATTACCAATAACCTTAGGAACCCTTGGTTATACAAAGGGTCAGACAAAGGATATGCTTTTTATTTATCTTTAACAGATATTACTTCAGTCCTCCTTGAATTTGTACCGTCAAATGAGGGAAATGGAAAAATGGGTAAATATTCCGAATGCCTTTGATTGACCAATCATGACAGTATTGATATCTCTCTCCCTCTCTCCCTCTCTCTCCCTTTCCCTTTCCTCTCCCCCCCCCCCTCTCTCTCTCTTTTCCCATTCCTTCTCCCCTTCCCTTTCCTCCTCTCTCTTTCTCTTTCTCTTTCTCTTTCCTCTCTCTCTCTTCTCCCCCCCCCCCCCCCCTCTTTCTCTTTTCTTTCCTCTCTCTCCTCTTCTCCCCCCCCCCCCCCCCCCCCTCTCTCTCTCCTCTCTTCTCTCTCTCTCTCTCTTCTCTCTCTCTCTCTCTTCTCTCCTCTCTCTCCTTCTCTCTCTCTCTCTCTCTCTCTCTCTCTCTCTCTCTCTCTCTCTCTCTCTCTCTCTATGAGAATAAATAGCTAAACAAATGTGGTGAGACATGTGCATGCACATGCAAATACACAAGAATAGATAAGCACAAAAGGAAAGGGAACTTATTTCCCGAATATTGTGTATTCAGCCAAGTCTCATTTCTAAAGAGAAAATGAAAATGTAATATAAACATCTTAGTGATTTTAGGAATGGGCTTTGATGTGGTGTCTTGAGCTTGTGAAACCAAAGCTAAAATACTGCGACCCTGGCAAACAGACCCCAGACTGCAACAGGATAATTGGTTTCTCGTTCAGGGATTGTGAAAGCTCAAAGGTTTTTGACAGGAGGAGGAGGTTGATACTGTTCGACACTACGGTGTGGTTGGGGATCTACAAACAGCTTCATTTTTACCTTTTTTAGAGATTTTGTATTTGTTTATATCTATTGTAGAGTAGTCCTAAGCAATGTTTTTCATGTAAGGAAATTTTTTAAATTTAATTAATAAAAATCAAGAATGTAACATTTTATATGTTGTATAGTTCTGTAAAAATGTCAGTGTTTCACAACTTCCCTTGATGTACTTGATGAAATTCTTTTTCAGGTAATACAGATCTGCTGGACATACCAATTGACGCCAAAACGGAATGTTGCCGGCTAGGCTCTAAATCATATTTATTTTACTCCCCTCATGAAGACCTTCTCGTAACCTTTACCTCGGAGTCAGGTGCGTTATTTTATCAAAGTTAATTAATTTGAGTGTAGGAATGTTTAGTGTTTTAGTAGGACAGGGTGTCAGTTTTAATCTTTATTCATAGTTAATAATAAACAAATATGAATAGATTTTGAATATAGCTATGTAAACAGTGTAGGATGATTTGGAAGTGTGTATTTGTTCACTGATTAGATTGGAAACATTTTTGCAGATTCTAGAAGATTTCACAGAATAATTTATAAGATGCGGCAGGGGAAGGAAGCATCTGTGTTTAACGAGAGAACAGATGACTCCAGCGCGACCCAGTACTTTCAGGTGAGTTTTCTCAGCTTGTATAGTTAAGGTTTGTTCATTTCTAGTTGAATAATTTTTATTTTGGGGGCATTTTAAGGAAAGAAGAAAAAATGTTGTGAGGCTTAGGACTATATAAGGAATTCATACAAGTGTATTGTTTGAATATTTTTACACTAATTCTTTGTATAGTTAATTTTCTTCTCTTTTTTCAGTTCTACAGTTACCTGTCACAGCAGCAGAACATGATGCAGGTAAAGTGTTTTAATGTTTTTAGAATTAGATTATAGCTTTGTAGTTACATTCAACATACTAATCTCATGAAAGCAAATCCTTATTACTTATTTCTAATGGAAGTCTTCTATTAAATGCAAATTGTTTTTCTGTTACTTCTCCCAGGACTACATCCGGACAGGCACTTACCAGCGTGCCATCCTGTCTAACATGAGTGACTTCAAAGACAAAATTATCTTGGATGTGGGAGCTGGCTCAGGTATCCTCTCGTTTTTCGCTGCGCAGGCTGGTGCACGGAAGGTGTATGCTGTTGAGGCTTCGTCTATGGCGCAACATTGTGAGGTATTTTGGTCGATTTTAGCAATTTTAAAAATTTTCCTCGTCGTTTTTCATGTTTATTTAAAAAGATGGCAAACTGTGTTTTTTGTTATAAATTACTTAGGATGTGTGGCTCAGTAAAGTTATTAAAGCTAAAATGGACAGTTCTTTAAACAAAAGGAAGAAAGATATCTACCAGTAGACATCAGTTACCAAGAATAGAGAAAGCATAGATTTTAAAAACTATCTGGCCATATACTATTAAAGTATTACAACATATTATAAGGAAAACCATACCTTTGCAGATGTTGGTCAGAGCCAACAACCTTCAGGATACCATCGAAGTCATTGCTGGCAAGATTGAAGAGATTGACCTTCCTGACATGGTTGACATGATCATCTCTGAGCCCATGGGTTACATGCTCTATAATGAGCGCATGTTAGAGACTTACCTTCACGCCAAGAAGTGGCTTAAGCCATGTGGACGCATGTTTCCATCGCGTGGGGACCTCCATGTTGCCCCCTTCAATGATGAGACCTTGTACTATGAGCAGCTGAACAAGGCCAACTTCTGGTGTGTTTTCCAGAGTTTTTAATCAATAGAGGATTTTTGTTTTTTGCCACTAAATGTTATTTGAAATACCTTGAGCAAGTTCATATCAGAAAAAATTCATGGACATTTTTTTATTTAACTTTCAGGTATCAGAATTGTTTCCATGGTGTAGATTTATGCCAGCTTAGAGAGCAAGCTTTAAATGAGTATTTGCGCCAGCCCATAGTAGATACCTTTGATATTGGTACCTGCCTGGCCAAATCAATTCGTCACTCCCTCGACTTCCTGACAGCACAAGAGAAAGATCTCCATCATCTAGGTAAGTGGAGATCAATTTTAAATGGAGTAAGTTGTAGCAGGATAAAAGCAAGATATGAAAAACGTAGTTATATGAATGTAGATAGTGATTCTATTCAGGAATATTCCAGAGATTGGTGTTTTTTATGAGAATCTTTTTTTGTGATATTATTAGTATTGTTATTATCATCATATACATTGGTAAGGGAATCTTGCCTCAACCAAATTATCCCTTTTCCAGTAATCCCGTTAGAGTTCCACATCCTGAAATCCTGCACGATGCACGGCCTGGCCTTCTGGTTCGACGTAGCCTTCCTAGGGTCCACGCAGACAGTGTGGCTATCCACTGCACCAACAGAACCTCTTACTCATTGGTATCAGGTAAATCCCTCTGGTCCAGTTTTTGCTAATGCTGTAGGAAAAGTGTTCTGAGTGGGTGAAAGTAGAGCCTCCCCTTCCCTCTCTTATTCTTAATGGAAGAAGGCTTACATTTCAGCAGAGTGTGTATGGATGTGGATGTTAGTTGTACATCACTATATTAAGTTATACAAGTAGGTTGTATTTTTTAAAATTTCAGGTGCGATGTCTGCTAGAGAAACCAATATTCGTTAAAGAAGGGCAGCTGGTTACAGGGACAGTGGAACTGATTGCAAACAGGAGGTAAGTATAGTTACAATGGATTTGTTTAATAAGATTGGATGTTCCATTTTTTGTCAGCAGACAGATTTCATGTTCTAACTTACAGAAATGTTTTTAGACATAGATTTGTTTCTATTTTGACAAAACCTTGTTGGTGCTAATATATTGTTTTCCTTTTTCAAATTGCATGTGTACTACCATGATTATGTTGTATAGTTTGCTATTATTCTACAAAAGGGTTTATGGTTTGTTGTGTTGTCTAGTGTGTAGAATTATACCTATATTCTATTTTGAGGGATTTTAGAAAAATCCTGCATTCCTTTGTCTGATTTTTAAAGTGATATTTTAAAGCTATGTTAACCCATTAGATCAATCAAAATGAAAGAACAAAGGAGGGGTGACTATTGGACATTTTGCTTTTCTTGTTTAACACTTAAGGGCAAATAACTTCAGATATATTTTGATCATATTTTTTACTAATATGTTACAGGCTCTTAAGCTCTTCATATTTGACTCTTGATTAGCTCAGTTTGACATGGAAAAAACTAAAGTCTCTATTTGCCTAATCACTGTTATTTCATCCAGTTAAACTCTAGATCTTTTCCTTCTCTCACATTCCCCTCCACACACCATAATATCACCAGTTACCTCCTGATTTTTCTTCATACACAAAGGATAATCATTAATTTTTTCATTGAGCTATACTAACACAGGCTGCCTTTTGAGATATGGGGATGTTTGCATGTATGTATATATATGTTATATGATACATAAAGTAGAGGTCTACAAACTCCTGCAAACTTGTATTGTTATTGGGGAATGGTCAAGCATTTGTGAATATAGGTTTAAGAGGTTTTACTTACTTCAGCCAGTGTTCAACAGGGAATGTGGTAGCAGATAGACAGGAGGAGCATTATATTAAGACCATCTGTGAGACTTAAAATCAATATGTGATATCTCTTACAGACTGCAGCTATAGATTGGTGTTTGAATAGACTTTAGATGCTTTTTGATGTCATTACAGACAGTCCTACAATGTGAAGATCGTGGTCCGAGTGGAGGGCACCACTACTGTGTCCTCCAACACACTAGACCTGAAGAACCCCTATTTCCGGTACACAGGTGTTGCACCACAGCCACCCCCAGGAAACAACACAGTGTCACCCTCAGAATCCTACTGGCAGCAGATGGATGCCCTCGGTGCTAAAGAAGGTAAGTCTATGGCCCCTGATTTGAGTTAGTCTTTACAGATATAGATTGCAGGTTGTAGTTATGTGTTACAAGTTTCTTTTTATGTAATGTGTGGGACATTGGTATTGTTTTTTTGTTGGGAGAGGAGTTTTTGTGGGTATAATTATTCTTAAGGATGATTTTGGTTGTTTCTTTTGGTTGGTACATCCTATTTTAGATAATTAAGGAACAATATCTGTGAAAATAAAAGATAATGTATAAGAAGGAAACTGAATAGAATATTAGATTGAGCCATCAAACTTCACTAGAATCAAACTGCAGAAATCTTCCCAGGTCACCATCTCAGATTTTGCTGAATATTACAGATGAAGTACCTTTATGTAGATATTAAAGATATGCAAATTTTAAGCTTCAATTTTTAAGAGTTTCTGGAATATAGGCCACGAAAAATCAGAGGCCACACCTACTTCTTGGGTTTGTGATGTTAAGGTACAGTTTTTTCAATGAAAATATTTTTCTCAATGAATTTGTTTGGTGCTGAAATTTGACAAATGTTATGTATAGTCACAATTGTCTATATCTTTCCATTTTTGATTCAGTAGCCTCATAGATGTAGAATTTTTATGACAAGAAAAGTTTTACTTCTGAGGGTTAATCATGCTTAGATAAAACGGGTTTTATCTTAAAAAGGAACCCAGCGTCCATTTTCATAAATAGTAGAAAGCCATGGCAATTTCAGAAAGGTTTAGTTGTATTGAAAATATGTTTTTATCATGGGTGGAAGAAATTCTTTTAATTTTATTTCAGTTTCTGACATAATACAACATGGATTTTACCAAGTGTCAACTTGTTCTACTGCTTTGTTCATTAACTCTCTATACTTTGCTGTTTTAGGCAACCCACCTAAACCACAGAGTTGGTTAGAGTACAAGCACACTATGAACGAGTCCAATCTTTTATGGTTTTATTTACAAAAGTATGATAAAATGAGAGTTCTCATATAGTTTTGGAAGGCGCTATCTCTACATGAGGTAACATGTACATTTTTTCCACATTGTATAGTAGAGCTTGAAGAAAGTACAAAATATCAAGATAACCATGAAACTCCGGCTTTGCCCAAAATTTGACTGTTCATGAAGTATTGCACTCAGGTGCAACTTATTTATAGTTTAACTATATTTTTATTGTTACCTACATTAGCAGTTGATGCACTCAAAGCTTTACATGACCAATCAGACATATCAGAAGTTGGCAGTTACTTCCTGAAGACTAGCTTATGTCAGTAAAAATTTCAGTAAACCACTTGTGCCATTATATAGGCCCTTCTCAGGTGCTTTAAAAAGAAATGCTAAAGCATTAAGATCATGATCCTTCTGATCTTTACATAGTGAAACCTTTGCACCTTGTATTAGAATATTAAAACTACAAACCATGATTTGTTCTTCCAAATATACATTTATAAATAATTGTACCTGAGACAAATTTTAGTGACAACTTATAGCTTTTTGTAAAGGTTGTTTGTAAAACAAACAGAAAATTATATTTGAGGGTTTAATTTTCTAGTTTAAGAGTTGAGAAAACAATGTCATATTTGAGACAAGCAAAGTTGACACCCACAGGAAAAATAGATAAATCATTCCATCAGCTGGAACACTTTTTGGAGCTCTGCTGCCCAAGTATAAGACTTAGAATTTATTCCAGTTTACTAATTCAAAGAGTCATGCGGGTAAAACCAGAAATCCAGTTTATAGTAAGCCCTCCTTTAGTTGATCTTGAGTTGGCAGGATACCACTGAAAGTGATACTGTTGATGTGTGACAAAAGTACATATATAAGATAAAAAGGAACTAATTCTTAAATTGGATCTTGTTTGATTAGGTACCAGATACCCAAAGTATCCATTTTCAGCACAAAGCAATACATTGTCAAAGTAGTTGTTTTCAGTTACCACATAAATTAACAATGAATCCATAGCGTGAAAATGGACATGGTCAGTCATTTTGGGAATCCCACAATTCAAAAATTTTGCATGTTATCATTGTTCATTTAGAGAGATCTTTATGAGATGGCAGTCTAGAGACATCTGTCTGAGTTTGAGTCTGTCCTGTAGCATTTATTATATGATGTAGAATATATGACCAGGCAGAGCTCAAATCAAGAAATTATCCATATATCATGTAAAACATTTAGACTCCAGGATTTGATGCAAAGTTAACACTTGCTTAGGTTTGCAAATCAAGATTAAAAAATGCACTGAACTTGCAGCACAGTAAGTAAACTCATGTCATTTCAAAGTGAAGTCTTGATTTATGTGGTTGTTGAGGATAGAAATGTTTGTCATTGTGTCTGATGTGGTACAGTAGGTGTCCATATGGTGAGAATAACTTTAAGAAGCAAATTACGTGCTGTGGCATGTCAGTCATTCAGTGTGAATTTAAAATTTGCTTATTTGTTTTTTTCTTTTAGTATTGGGTTATTTTTGTTTATTGCAAAAGCTAATATATTGGAATCTGTCATTAACATTTTAAGAATCTGGATCAATAAGTTGCTGTGGATTGATATATAATGTTGATAAAATTAAGTGGCTGATTTCATTGTTAAATTATTAAGCATTGGAAGCTGACAAAAATGTGAAAAGTGGTGTAAAATCCTGGGGTTTACAGCTTTGCAGAATTACAATCTGGTTCGGGTATGGCAGGTAGACGTTTTCCACATGTGGCTGAAATAAATCTTTGTTGATGTTTTATTTTTCCTTACTTATTCAAATACTTTTTAGCCTTCTGGTGTATTAATTTTTTTGTAAATATTTTGTATAATGCTTGTTTCATCCTGCATAGAGTATAAAGAAAACCTTTTAAAGTTTAAAGCTTACTCTATTACATCATTTAGATGTTTTATTGGTAAGCAGTTGATGATGTGAAGGTTAATTTTGACATGGGAAGGTGATGTAGAAGAAGTGTGGCTCATTCTTATGTGACACATGTGACATTTGAAGGGTTATTTTCATTAATAATGCTAGTTGGAGATATTTCCTGGAGGAGAAAAACTCAAAGGTGATATAAAATGTTAAATAATGCAAATATCAACCATATATTCCCAGATGTCAAGACATACGTGACGGCCAAGTTTAATGCCTATGCCTGGGTTTGTAAAATATCTTGGCAGTTATTGTGTTTCTGACTGTTCTTCAAGAATCAATTAAGAGTGATATGGCAAACTACCACTGTGTAACCGTACATACAGCTGCTTTAGCATAGTGAGTCTATACTTCAGACTACATGTTGATTTAGGCCTCCCAAGGTGCTACTGGTATAATTGGACAGCAGTGAAAAGGGAACAAAGTCATATATACCTAAAGTAAAGCTTCAGAGAAATGTGATAGTACTAAACAGTACATGAAAAGGGGATATATACCAATGGTTATTTCAATGTGGATTTTTAGTAAGTCCATTCAAAAGAGAAAAAAATCATTTTGTGAGAGATGTGCATGGGTTGAAAAGATTGCAGTTGGCTATTTCAGTTGGGTCACTAATATGTTAGTGTATGATTAAGTAACTATGTGACATGCATTTAAGAGAATAACCCACATGTCTTGTTTAGTACTTGTGAATTGAAACTGGTTTAAGGGTGTGTTTGAAGCAGTAAGAAACAAAGTTTTATGTATGTGATTTGAAAACCTCTAGAAATGTGCAACTTAAAACAAATGTTGACCCTATGTACACAGTTACATGTATTGAAAATTGTAATTTTTTTGCAGAGAGAGCTCCATAAGTGCTCAGCCACCTTGAGAGTCCATTCATAGCCCAGTATGACTTCACTTGATATCCCTATTCCTTGAATTCATTTGCTTTATCAATCTATCTATCACAGTCTCTGTATATCTCTCTCATGCTATTAGAATCAGGTCATTATTATTATTATTGACTGTATGATTATTATGATATTACTGAAATACTAATAGCAATAGAAAATAGAAATCTCTCTGAAAAGCGAGGAAAAGGAGTATGTAGGACTTTTAATTGACTCATTGATTGTGTACTTCTGGAGCCATCTGTGTGCAAACAATCACTAAACTAAAATCTCAGTGATGAGAGCATGTATGGTATGCCATCCATGCACAAGGGGTTAACAGAGAAGTATTAAATACAAATTATTTTAACAGTGAATTCTGTACTTTGGTGTTTTGACAAACTGATATGTAACTGCTCAAGAACACTATGGACTTATTGGCAGTTTCTGTTGTTTGTCTTTTGATTAAAGCATATAGATTGTGTTGTTTGCACTGACAGGCCTAGCTTGTTGTGCATCAGTTCCCAAGTGAATTGATTAAAGAGGAATTAAAGTTATGGGTAGTATGTCAATTTTCCCAACAGTTTACTATCCCCTAATTGTTACAAAGTAGCTTCGGTCCTTCCTTTGCCGGTAATCTGTTTTGCATCATAAATCCATCAAGTCTAGGATGGTACCTTTTCAGAAAACTTGTTTGGGTGCACTTTTATTTATTGTAGTACTTTTTCTGTTCTTGTACAGGAGGTATTGTAAGTGACTTTCAAGGTTGTGTAAAGGCTTTTTCAATTTTTTGACTAGAGTGAAAGTATTTCTTGCAAAACTGAAGAAGAAAGTTTGTCATTTCATACTCTCACTTCAGCAAACCTTGCTGTGTTTGTTAAATGAGAGCATGCTGCTGTCTACTTTTTACTAGTTCATTGGGCTGGCTAAGTAGTGCATTTTACAAGCCCACAGCTAGTTTTACTAGACAACAACCGTCGGGCCAATAATATGGTCGAGTTCTTTTCAGTTAATTCAAAGAAAGGAAAGTGGTATGAGTTCTGTATCTGCATTACTATATAAGTATGAGGGAGTGAATGTGTGTTAAAATTTAGGTGTTCCAGTTGTATGTGTTTATTTCTGTATCTGAATGTTTATATAATGAGTTATGATTGGAGTTTCATTACCTTGTGGGATAATTTCATGGAAAAGCAAAATAAGTCAGTTTTTAAATGTTTATGCATATTAGATCATTTACAAGATTGTTTTCTATGGGGAAAAAAATGAGGTTATCAGATCTGCGAGATTTGAAATATAGATTAACAAACAAAAGATAGATTCATTCATGTACAACATTCACATGCATGTGCTTGTGCTGCAAGTATGAAAATAACAAGTGAATGGGGGACTAGGGGACCACATTGTAATGTTAGCTACTATTTGTTTCTCATATAGCTTTCATTTTGCGGTATTGCATTGTGTTGCATCCTGTAGTCTTCCTCCATAATCCCTGAGAACCCCATTCCAAAACATTTTTCTACTATGTACAGATTATTACATACCTGCATAATACTTTTATTAACCTTTTGAGGATAGGAGCTAATGTATACATGCATTGTCCATGGTGGTTTGGTTTTAATTACTTTATTTATGCAGATCCTTCATAGAAGTCCTTAGTTACTAAGGAGTCCATAAGGAGGCTATTACTAGCCTACCTACCCTTTCCTTGCCTATTTCCTTTGTTTCTTGAATATTCAGAAGAAAGTTAATAATGTTATGATCATTAAAAAAAATTAATGATGATACTAGGTAATGTTAACAGTGGTAATAATAGTAACAAAAAAATCAAACACAAGCATGAGCTTAATTGCTCATGCCATTCTTTGATCAGGCAGGCAAATGATTGACTTCTTGGTGACTAAGAGTATGTGAGGTCCTCTGTGTTTAAGCAAATTTATTAAAATAGAACAACAATGGATAATATGCACACCATCAATAGTAGATGTCAGTGATGTGTTTATTTGCTGTACTTTCCCCCTATAATCTGGAGTGTGAAAATTACATTTCAGGTTAATTTTTTTTTAGTGTTGAATTTTATCCTCAAACCTGTAAAACTTATAACATTATTTAAACCAGAAAATAATTTATGTATCTTTTTGTCATACTGTTTAGCAATATTCTAAAATTGTTATACGATATTTAAAATGTTTACCTGTCACAGAACAAGATTGAAGAGGTGAATGACATAATGCTTCTTAAACATTGATTAAACACCATTCAAAGGCAATATGTTACCTCTATTTTTGCTGTTTACCATTACATTAAGCATGCTTTGTTGGAACCAACCTACCTAGCAAATTTTTTTACGATTTTCTCTCTATAGGTCAGTAAGAAAGAGAGAGGTCTATATTTGTATGTATTTGGCAAATTGTCCTCCTAGTGATACCGATTATTACTAGAACCTTTGCATTGCTAAGGGACTGCTTGCACAGAGCTGGAATGCTCATGCTGGCCAGGAGATGTACTTGGTTTCCTGATGCTGATAATTGTCATTTCTTTCTTTCTTTCACCATTTATTTCCCTTTGTATTCAATTTTGTTGGCGGAAAATCAAGAAACGAGAAATGTGTCTATTTCGGCTTTGTAGATGCAGACTTTTTGGCTGATCTTTTGAATCCTTGCCTGGATACAACTTCTATGGATGTAGGAGCAACTTGTGCTTATAAGAAGTAAATTTGGGTCCCAAATTTTTTATTTTGGGGAAGCATTTTGTGGAGGTAGGGGCACAGGTATTTATTGTATAGGCTCTGATTTTACAAATACTCTTACTCTGCAAAAGGAGACCAGACTACCCGAAACTATGCTGGCAATTATAGGGATAGAGCACTATCACTGTCCATTTCTCTTATCAGATCAAGTAAAGGATATAGGGAAAGAAGGTTTTAGAAATTCTGTGGTAAAGCACTAGTTTTTCATTTGTAGTCTCTGGTTTGCACCTAGTCAGACCCCTCCTAGTTGACGTGGTTGTCAGTGAGTTTTGGCATTAGCTAGGAGGCAGACTTGGGGTGGAAAGGAGCTGGCTACTCTACTATGTTATCCCTCAGCTAAAAAAAAACTACTCTTGGTACATATGTACCCTCAGCTGTACACTTGGGTTTGGAACCAATTCAGGCTTCATTGTAAAGAAATGGATGGATAGATTGTAGATTTTTACCTTTATTTCCTTTGGTATGTTGTTTTGATAGCTGAAGTATTAGAATCTTCAAGACTACACCCATTAGGGAAAGAACAAAGTCTATGTAGCTAGGACCAGGTAGTCCCTGAAGTACAGAAAATCTGAAGTCTTGTATTTAGAATGAAGGCTCTCTATTAATGAAATCTGTTAGCAGTAGAAAATCTAACAGGAGAGAGATGTTACAGACAATTGCTTATAGTGTTTTGCAGATATTCATAAGCAAAACATCATATATTACTGTATACTGATGAAGTTTTGTATGACCCCTATGATTTACTGACTAGAGGTCTTGTGCACTAAAATGTTATTTAACTTTGTGTGGGTGGGTGTGGGTTGGTGGGTGGGTGTAAGGCATGTGCAAGAGTATGAGACTGCATCTTTGATGTGAAGTATTTGTAAGCCAAAGCTATGAAGGAAGCTGAAAATACATAAAAGGTCAGATGTTGATTTATTTTCATTTAGTTTTACTTAGGATAAAGCTCTGTTAAAAGCAAAACCAACCATTCTCCCAAAATAGGGTTCATAAATAGATAGTGAAAATTAGTGAAAGGTCTAGGGCATTTTAGAGGTAGCATTAGATGAGCATATAGGTTGCAAATGATGCATATGTGTAAGTGTAAGTTTAAGGAGCTGTTAGGACTGAACAGTAGCTGTTGCTTGAGGCCCACATAGGTGTGCACCTACAAGCTACACACATTGTAACTACAGGTCTTACTCCCTACAGCGCTAAATATGGTGAATGGCATCACGGTGAACGGGCTTGGAGAAGTGGCACTAGAACAAGGACCTTCTCTCATCACCCTTGGTAATTAAAGTTCTTTACTCTGTATTTTGCACATTATTTGTTTGTAATACCCCTCCCCTTCCCTCCCCTTCCACCCCCTCCCTGCCAGTTCCCTTGTTCAAGGCATGGAGGTGAAGTGTAGTTTGCCTGACTTGATCTTTTGATAAAAAAAAAAAAAAAATAGTATTGTACTTCTTTCTTATTTTTAGTCTATTTTTTACTCTTAGATAGTAATCCTGGTTACCTAAAAAGTAGTGTATGTACGGCAGTGCTTTGAATTTCTGTCCCTACCATTTTAGCCTCTATATCCACTGACATTTTAGCGAGGTTACTAATTTTGTATCTACATAGGGTAGTCTTCCTAATCATATAAGGTGACAAGGGAATGTTTGCTTAATATTATTATTATTATTATTATTTATTTTTATTTTTTTTTCAATGGGATTAAGGCAGTAATTGCTGCTGAGTACTTGCTCATAACCTAGCCAAAATAGTGCTTCTCTATTAACTCATGAAAAGCTATGTAGTGTGGCATTGGAAATGGCTCTCAGTTTAACTACACCATACATTTATACCTATTGGTAGACATAACTGTTCAAAACACACACATGCACACATTTAGATTAAGGTTTAGAACATACATTTATATACTTACGCACATGATATCAAAGAGTTTGTGAACACAAAACCACCACTGCCACCAAGTATCACAGCTTTAATTCCATGCAAAGCTTCCCACCAATCCCCCTCCTCAGCAGAGAGGCAGTATCCACAGGACTCTCCAACTGGGCTGGATGCATCCTTTTCCCTTTCATGTGCAGTTTTTCAATTCCACTCTTTATTTAAACAAGGCTCTTTAATTTCCTGTAGTTTTGCATTGGTGCATCTTGCAAAACTCTGCATCCAATAAAGGCATTATCCAGTTCATCCACACCTTGGTATTTTTTTTCCTCTTTGGACTGATCTTCCTTTTTTCTGCGAAAACATGTCTGGGACATGTTTAGCTAATTGTTTTGGAGGAATAGAAGACATGGGGAAAAGTTTTTTCCGTTTCCTCGGGCATTAGGGTTGGTTGTCAGACTTGGCATTGGCTTTTTTCTGTCTCCTTTTGTTCACTCTGCAACTTTATTTTGAGTCTTGATGCTTTCATTGAGTCTTGAGTTTTTATGTATTAGATTACACACATCTTTCACAATCTTTCTCATGTGTGTTTTTTAAGTGATCTTTACAAGTTTTACCTATTAAAGATTAGGAGGAGATAGTTTGCATGTATTGTCAATTTTAAAAGTAATGTTTTCAGTAATGCATGATATTCATGTTATTAGCTGTATTAATAATAATCAGAAGAAAAGTTTGGATGGAAATGAAGTGGAAGATCATAACAATGTACAATGATGGTTTTGTAAAACGTATTAGAAGTCATCATATGGTTAAAAGCTTTATTATGATTTATAATATATATATATATATATATATATATATATATATATATATATATATATATATTATATATTACATATATATATTATAAAAAGATACTCAAAAATTTATTGAAAATTTATGAATTTAAACTTCTAAAGTATGTAGAGCCATCAGAAATATTCATATTATTGTTTTTAGTAATTAGGAGATATAACTGGCAGTACACAAGGTTGGTGCTCTTATATTGCATTCCTGCTTGCGCAACAGGACTGATGTAAGATTATGGCCGCTCTCTCTCTCTCTCTTTCAGACTCATGCGGAACTTGGCGTTAAATCTCCGAAAAAAATGGATGTGCACTTTGCCCCAAAACCACAAAGCATTGTAGGCTGTATGTGTATGTGTGTGTCGCATGCGCTCCTGAGAAATGGGGCCGCTGCACGAGGCTCATTCTTGCAATGAGGGGGGCGCAGCGACATGATCCTAGCCATTCCTAGCATGCTTGCGTGGTTTTGGGGGATGCATTTGTTTTCAATTAGTATTCTCCACGAGAGCCATGTTGCTGTGCTTTACAATTTTCTCACGTCTCACTTTTATCGCTGCTGATAATTTCTTGTGTGGTTTCAGTGCTGATGACAATGCATAACAAGTATTCCTTTTAAGATGCAGTAATGCTAGGTTATGATTGATATCAAGGTGTTAGGGTTGTTGGTACTACTATTAAAAAAGATTAAAAAAAAAAAAGAAAAAAAAACTGAAGCCAATTGTGTCTAGCTGGAGAAGTCTTATTTGCTGAGATGATGATGAGGCTTTTAATCAGTTTCATGAGCCCTGTTGTGTAGACCAGTAGAGAATAATAAACTTTTGGAGCACCAAACTTGAATTTTCTCACCATATGTCTCGGTCTGAGGGTTTGCTTGAGAAAAGTGTGTGAATGTGAGAGAATGTTTTCTTGCAGATGTGTATTTATTTGATTCTCATGAGGTATATAGATGTGTGGGGGGGGTGTGGGTATGTTTGTGTGTGGATGTGTGGAAATGTATGCATATATATTTATTCACAGTATTGCCTTTGTGTATGTGTGTAAGATACAATCTGACAAAGACCTGAGTAAATTTAATACACATTATTTTGCAGCTGCTTTGATCTATTAAAAGCAGTTGTTCAATTCAACATGGAATTTATTTATTTATTTTTTTTTTTTTTTTTTTTTTTTTTTTTTTTAATGACACGTCAGCATACTGCATACAAATATTGTTCATTGAAACAATTATCAGTTAGTCTTTGTGAAATGTTATTAAGGTATTTGGAAAGAAACTACCTGCAATTTCTGGTAAAGAGATAAATTTATGTGCATGTTGTGATTTGTAGTTTTTAATTGTATGCAAGAACTATACTCAAAGGAGATAATTTATTTGATCACCAGTACTTTTTTTTCCTATTTTCTTTTTTCCATGCTTGCACTTTTTTCCTGTTTCCTCTCCCTTTTCTTCCTTTGTTTTCTCCTCCTCTTACTCTATTTAATTACAAGAATGACAGTCAAAGAGAATAATACCAAACAGTTTGTAGACCACAGAATTTTTTGTACATGCAGTTTTTAATTGTACAGTAGCCATTTCCTTTATTTGTGTGAGGTTGTCCTCACTTCTTGTATTTAATTACCTTTGTCATTTGTTAAAACAGAGATAAGAAAAACGTGTGAATACAAGACTTGAGCGCAAAATTAGTCCATCAATTTTTTAGTATTGAAAAGGTATTTAATTCTTTTTGTGCAGATATTACTACAGATACCATTTCAGTGGTTAAGAGATTTAATGTCTAATATTCTTGGAAAATGGTTGTTCCTATGTATTTGATTGATTTATCTAATATAAAATCTGTGTAACATAACTTACCTGATTTGGAGGAGTGTGGATAGAGGAGTACAAGCAACATTGAGATACATGAAAAGATAACGGAAAAGGTATTATCTGTTCCTTGAAATATTCAAATATGAGGTAACATTAATACAGATTTTGACATGTATGCTAAAGGAAAAGAAAATTAGTGTTGATCTTATGTTTAGCATAAGGTAGATTTGCATGTAGCTATTGAATGAGTATTAAAACAGTTGTAATAACCACTTGCCACTACTAATAACTAGTTTGAAGAAGTAATGAGAGTAGAAATATTGTGAGTTACAGAGGAAAGGAAGATGAAGCTGATGGTGGTCAATTTATCTTGTATAAATTTGGAGTAATATTGCTTGGTGATCAGCCCTTGTAGCACGATTATCTTGCCTTAATCCACAGTCATATGAGCAATTTCTTCAAAGCTGCCCCCAATAGATATGTAATACTCACAAGGGGGCAAACAAGGTTATTACTTGATGTGCCCAATTTTATTCAACAAAAATGGCAGTGATGTCCTTAATCTTGGCAGGTTCCACATTCAGACCCCTCCTGTAAACGATAATGACATCACAACTGCAATGAAATTAAAATCCATGGACAAAAATACAATTTTTATTTTAATATCATATGAAGTAAAATATATTTGTTTGAAAAAAAACATGTGCAATTGAGTAAGTACATATTAACAGACTAGAGTCTTCCCATGCCCCATTCCCAATTCCAAAGGATCCATACTGTTTCACCCATCCTCAGCAAAGTTTCTGCAAAAAGAGGACTATGCTAACTGAGAGGTTAGGGAAAATAGGGAATTTGGATATTACTGCCAACTTGGTGGAAATTTTTTTGTGTGTGACTGCAAGTTTAAGTTAAGATTTGTTTCTCTGTTAAAATTTGAAATATGAAGTGGGTCCTATCTTCCTTTCTTTGTTTTGTATGAAGGTCTTTCATTTCAACATGTGTTCAGTGATGGTAGAGAGGTATTTCTCTCTCTCTCTCTCTCACACTCTCACTCACTCACTCACACTCTCACTCACTCACTCACTCCCCTCTCCTCCCTCCCCTCTCCCTTCCCCCTACTCACCCACAAAAGTGTGTTTCTTTGCTGGAAAAGAAAAAAGATATTGTACACATTTCCTTGTCTTAATATTTCATGACATGGTGCTATACAAATAAATCTGATAAGAAAGAAAAGTCAGGTAAGTATTTGTGACTTATGTTTGAAATTGTATTAATGTTTTATACACATTTGTAGATGATTATATAATAACTTTAAAGATTGAGATGACAAGCTTGTCTTTGTATGAAGTTTTACACATTAAGGCAAATTGTGAATGCAGTGTTGAAAATGAGTTTTGTAGTACTTTTGAGGAGAAAGTACTTCTATGGAAATGAACTGATAAAATTGTACAAAATTGTAAAGTAAAAGCCGGTTGGTGATTTCACGCCGTACGAAGCCCATTAGATATATTTGAAGATCTGGGTCAATCACAGAAACAGACTTCTGCTTATGTTCTTTACCATGGTGAATCTGTAAATTTCATAGCAGATGTAAAGTGTACACAAGGTAGAATATCAAAACCAGAAATGTGTTGCCTACGAGTATAAGTTTGTGAAAAGAGGATATTTTGGAAGTGGTCACCAAGACTCCAGTCAATGATTGCACTGATTTCAAGCTGGGTAGGGTAGGTATGCAGTATGTGACATAAAGGAAAGAAATATGATTGGAGAAAGTAAGTAAGATATAATGTGTAAAGAGAGCACTTAAGTAACATGGAATTTCAAGATTATAACATCTAACTATGAGCTTGTTAAATAGATTATTATTATTATAAAAATAGATATTCTTTTATTTGTCTTTCTTTTAAATAGCATGTTGATCAGTTTTCTGTTGTTTGAACTCAGATAATGTTTTTCTTTTGATAATGCAAAAGATTTAGAATTAAAATTTTAAGATAGATGTCTAAAAAAGGACATCATGTTCTGATTTTTCTAAAGTCTGGTAGTCTCTTGTCTGTAATCCTATATTCTCCTCTTTTATTTTTTTCTTTCTTTCTCTCTGTCTTTTTCCCTTTCTTTTTCATTATCTTCTATCCTGCTCTTGTTTCATTGTCTTTCAACAAACTTAACATTTAGGTGCTATATTGGCATTGCTAATACACTTCTGCTCTCCCCCTCAGGCCAACAGGTCCAGCTTGGCAGCATTAGCTTGGGGTCGCACCTGAATGTACCAATGCAAGTGGGAATTACGGACGAACCCTCTCTTCCACACAAGGCAACTTCTCCCCAAGCACTCAGGCATCACGCCAGGTATGGGGACAATGTTCTCTGGTTCTTTAACTGGTGGAGATTTGTTTAGGTTGTCGACAAATTTTTGTCTTTTTCCTTTCTCTTTGTTTATATTGTAAGGTAAGTCCAGAGATGAAATGTAAATTAGATGTGTTGAAGACTTTACTAGATTTTGTGTTTATAAGTTGAATACCCTTGTTTTTGTTATTATAGTATTAAGCTTATTATACTTCCAAGTTCAGAATGCAACATTGTTCCCCCATGTTTCAGTCAACTGTTGGCAGCAGCACAGCCATGGGGGGAGGGAACTTCCCCGTTAACAGTGCCCTGATGATTGGTGACTATGTGACCCCAGGATCCATTGTGCTGCCCACACAGGGTATCCAATTGGGTGGCCACTCCTCCCTGAGCAGCAGCGGAGGAGGGGGGGTACGTTCCCCGACCCATTGACCGGGACTGTTGCAGACCTCCTCCCTTCTGGCGCAGGAAGTCGATCCCGAGCAGCTCTCTTCACTGACCCTTGAGGCCGTCCTGCTCGGCCTCCATGCTGCCAGATGAAGGTGGAGAGTTTGCCTGCATGTGTGGCTGCCCTTATGGAGATGACATAGCAGAAGGGGTGGTGTTCCGCCAACTGTTCCTCGTATGACTACTATGAAAGAAGTGAGGGACTTTGGCAATCTTTGAGAGGAGGAAAATTAGGAAATGAAACAAGAGGTGAGACATTTGAAAGAGAAGAAGAAAAAAACTCAGTGGCTATTTTTTAATCATGGTTGTCTCCATAAACTTTTTTTTCTATTATCATCATCAATATTATTATTTTAGAGATTCCTTCTTTCTCTGTTATGTAAGAAGGTGTGGATGCTTGGTAAGCTCTTGAAACCTGACAAGATATATATATTAAGTGCACATAGCTCAGGGTTTCTTTCCATCTTCCACTTCTCTGTTGTCTCAAATTAACAAGTTGAAAGAGTGTATCGAGAAAATAATTTGCAAATGAAAGTAACTTTTTTATGCTTTTGTCTTTGACCAAGCATTTACCCTGCAGCGTCTTGGAGAAAGAATTTTTGGTATTGTACAGTTACCTGGATTTTGTATAACATTGAGGAAAATTTGGACCTGGCTCATCACTCGTGTCAAAAAAAGCCTGTTGTATTTGTAATGCACTTGTATGGAATATATTAGATGGATTGATTGAGCTGTTTATGCTCTTGTAAGGAAAGATTGTTTAAAACTTTTGGCTTAGACTGTACTCTTTTTTTTATTTCTTATTATTTTCTTGAAAACAAACAACTTTGCATAATTTCATGTGTGATTGTCATTTTTAGAAACTGTTGGTTAAATATCCCAAAATTTCAGGCATCAGATGATACTGATGTTTCATTATATATTTAAGAATGAAAGTATTGGGATTTTTTGGTTTAGAGTGTATAATTGTTCAATGTTTCTCTCATATAAGCTTTTCAAGAATAAAAGCTTGTTAGATGCTGCAGTACAGTACCATGCACAAATGCATATACACATGAACTCTCTCAACACAAACATCTACGTCTATAGCTCTACATAACCATACACACAGATGTAAAAACATATACTTAGATATACATATATATATTCATATATACCCTCACACACATATGCACGCATATACTCATACACACATACGCCTACACATACATACGTACTCACATACAAAAAAATA